GTCCACAAAAAGCAAGCGACAGTTATAGGGGGTAGGAGCCAATCAAACTTCAGAGGGTAGGGGGGGGTTAGAGGTAGGAAGAAGGGAAGGAGAGGGGGGAGGAAGAGAGAGTCCACCGTCAGGGATAATAGCTTCCACGAAAACAAGCAACAGTTGTGGTAGGTAGGAGCCAGTCCAACTTCATACGGGCAGAGGAAGGGAGGGGAGTTTGAGAGGTAGGCAGAGGGGGGGGAGGGTCCATTAATCAGCAGTATCTGCTGTGCGGATGTTCCTGCGAAGAGCAGTATATGCGGGTGCCAACTCAAAACGTCTTTTCACTGAGTTGTCATCCGTGGCCAGGCTTCAATAAGCTCGCGTTCGGTCTTGCTCCCGGCGTGAGCAATTATCCTTGTTGCTGCGAAATTAAAGTCGTAGCCCGGTGCTCCGGTGCTCGACCTTTCTTCTTCCTCAAGCATGAAAATACCCGGAACTCGAACGCTCTTATTCATTCGTGAAGTATGCTATTCAAAAAATAAAATGGGAATTTCGATTAAATTTTCATTAAATCGGTCATTGTCTGTCCATCCAACTCGAGGTGGCTTCCGCATGTATGAAATACTTTTTCGCTGCAAACACTGGCATCGGTTCTACAAAGCTAAAGGATTAAAAAATAAACTTAATAGTTTGTCTTCGCAAGGGTGTATGGTGACAACCGCTAAAGCATGTTTCAACCATCGGCACCTTTTCAACGGCATGATACTTTGCTGTTCAAAAGCTTGACGGTTCCGTCAGTTTTTTCTTCAAATGATGGTAACTGTATATCACACTGAATGTTTCAGCACGTTCTAATCTGAGAGAATTTACTTTGGAGTCTGACGTTTCAAACTGTTTTTTACTCATTACCTGTCATGTACATTTTTAGAAAGGTAATAAAATCAGTAGCATATTTTTATTGTCGACCAATCCTGTTGTATCTATCCGGTTTATCTATAATTTAAAATGCTTTGAATACTTTAGTTATATTTTATTTTCTATCCGCGCAAATTTCTCCCAAAAGTCATCATTAGGAAGTATGAAAAGATAAAGATTCTTGCCCCTTTCATAACAGACCAATACTCACTAGGAATTTTTTTTTTCATAGGATTTCCTGAACACAACTCGAAGCGCTGCCGCTTTTGTGAGGGCAGTGAAAGTTACCGGACGTTTCGGCGAACGTGTGTTTAAGTGGCTGCAGAACGGAGTATCTGACCTTTTCGAGGCATCTTATGCAAGCTTTGGTAATTGGACCTTCCTTTTCGGAGTTATCCCTTTTGTGAATACTGCCGCTTAGGACAGTTCACTGGGCGACATTTTATGTGCAAATGCCCTGTCACGAATAGGCACTCAGTTCTCTGTGCGAAGTCCAAAATATCAGTTGACTGGCATGCCTGTTGAGGGAATAGTCAAAACAAAAAATGACAGCCAATTTAAATTCCTAAATGGCGATTTAACTATCAGTTAGGAAGTCTCCAACAAATTATCAGCCTCTTCGGCTTAACTCAATATATCTGAAATTAATCAACGGGACATTTAAAAGATGTAATTTATATTTTTGGAAGTTGTAAATGCCGTAGAATTGACAGCTCGCTGTGCGCGTATTGGTCAAAGGAATCCCGCGATACCCGAACCTCTACTATCTCAGCAGACCGCAGTCACACTACGTAACACATAAGCTTCTGAAGTTTTTTTTGCCAGATTGGCAGAATTAACATGGGAAGTGTAAATTAATGGGCGATGCATTAGAACTGTAATTTAATTGAATATCTAGGCAGTATCTCTGTTGATTTTGTTATCTGAGACTTCCAGTAGATTCATATAAATATGTTTATAGTACAGAGGGACGAACGACAGAGAAAACGAGTAGGTAGGTACAGTACTATTTGGGTGTATTCTGCCTTCATGTTGAACATCGTAACCCTTATTACCAACTGGAACCGCAACCAAAAACATGTGCTCGTGTCAGACACAGATAGTTCACACACGGCTTCCAACAAATGGATAATAAGATTGTAATAATTATGCATATATATGCATATATTGTAGAGGGCACTCACCAATCGCATCATGCGATATGTTCGTCCGGTTTTGCCTTGTGGCTCGATCCATAGCCTGTACGCAGTCCGAAGACTGGAATAACATTTTCTGGCTTCTTAGCCTTCATCAATCAATCAGCTATCCCTGGCCATGAGGTTTCGGATATCTTAGGCTGGGACCATGATCTTCGGTTTAGTAGTTCAACCCTCTAACTACTAAGTCACGCGCTCGTAGTCCTTTCTCTGGTATATTAGCTATAGTAAAGGACGTTCAGTCACAGCTTTACGGAATATGTTCGTTCTGTTATGTCTAGGGGCCCCTAGACAGTCGCATATTGATTATTGCTATAGGAAAAAGGAGACTACCGCTCGGTAGCCATCCTCTATACTCGATCGCTTACCGGAATTCAATGGTTAAAACATAGAACTAATAACCGAAGAAACGCAGCTTTGAGCTGCCGCAGTCCCAAACCTGTGGTTGAGCTTCGTTGACCGGGGAGGGCTAATAGTTCATTTGTTGTAGGCTCCTTTTGGCAATGTTACTAGTTTTTGTGCACCTGTCTATCGGCTTTTAGATCGACCTTCGAGTCGCAGCGGGTGAACTTCCTCCCGTATTTATACCGAGGAACGATTTCTATCATATATAAAAATAGAAGCAAATTATGACGCAAAAGATGATAACGATGGTGATGATGATGATGATGATGATGCAGTGGAACCGAGGAAGACAGGATGGATTAGGATGGTCATTTCTGGCTTACAAGCTTATAAGCCAGTCGCACCTTACCCCTTGCTGCGGACTACTCGACATTCGGTTTCACTAAAAGTAGCCATGCGACCGCGTGCGAAGGCTCCAAAATGAGCTCCAAGACAAACGAATATAAATTTTACGCAAGCATATTGGTGAGTAACACTCTATCATCATATTCCAGATCGCAACTGACAACCCAGTGAGCCCGTGGTTCAGTGGTAGAGTGTTACATTCACTTACCAAACGATCGCAGGTTCAAATCTCGGGTGATCTTGGGTATGACTGACCGATGACGGCTAATAAACCGGAAATGGTCATTCCGGTCTCCCCAGTCTTTGATGGTTCCACATTTGCATATGTCGCCAGTCGATATGCGACTGCTCACAAAGTAAACCCCAAGGCACATGCATTTTTCGTAATCAAATCGGTGAGCTGCACGTTATTATGTACACACATATGATAGTAAATGGGCGCCCGCCGATTGGCTACAGGACTCACTCATCTCAACTTGTCCTTTGGCCTTTTCTCTTCTACAAAGATAGACGAGCATTTATAAGAGCGACCAGGGAGAGTATAATGGTCATTTCTCGCTTATTGTCTGTCATCAGCCAACCGTATCTAACCCATTCTCAGCCAAGCAATGAGGTCCGATCATTGGCCTGTTGGTTTAAACCTTCGTTAAGCTATGATCTCGTTTCCCTAGCGGCTGCGATAAATATATACATCTGCAGAGATATGGGATGACAGAAAACGTGCGTAAATTGCTGTGATATGTTTCAGGCTTATTCTGCTATCATTCAATAAATCGTAAAGTTGGATATCAGTTAGAACTGGAAACACGAAAATAGCATTCGAGTACGCCGCAGATAGTCCATACATTGTGTCTAGCTTATGGATTATAAGCGCTTCATCGTTCCTCAGGGCCTCGCCACCTATCATACTGCTTAGAAATATATTCATTTATTTCTTTCATTTTAGCGACTCTGTCAAAATCATTGCACAGGTTTGGCACTACGATTCCAAATACTTTCAACAAACTCGGCAGTGTCTTGGCAAAACAGGTTGCTGGTGACCTAGATGCCCTTTCAAATGCATTCTCAGAGGAAGGAACAGAATTTATGGAAGCAGCACAGGCTGTCGCTCTCCGGCTGAAAGAAGACCTCTACTATCTGGTATGTTGCGCTTTTCTTATCTCTGGCCATAATTGCAGGTCAAAGGCCGCAGTAATTATGAGTTATTCGTTCTTTTATGCAGAACGTTGGTGTTTTATTCGACTTAATTGATGAAGTTCTATTGTTAAACGCATTGGGCGCCATTTGCCTTAACCGTTTGCAATGCTTTGCCCAGCTCTCCTTTGTAGCCAGCCGGGACGCCGTGGCAGCCTTGCAGGACTTCGCACTCGGAAACATTTCTGGTGCCATTAAAAAGTACTTCAGGCCCGAGGATAACCAGTACATGGTCGACTGGGAGGCCGTGTCCGTAAACGCTTCAATCCACCTCCCTCAAGAGCTTCTGCAGGCGACTTCACTTCCGATCGCTTTCTGTGGAGGACGCGCACTACAGCCTGTAAGATCTTTTAACTTGGACGTTTTGAAAATGTCTTCTTCTCGGTGCAGTCTTGTGTTCAATCGGCGGGCGGAGGCAAATCCTATCCTTATTCGGCTTTAAAAGGTTGTTCCACTGAACATTCACTATACGATCCAGAAGCAAAGTATTGGGATGAGAAACTTGCAAACCTTTACCTGAGAGGTCATGTCGCCGAGGTTCGAGCGAATAAGTAAACACTGGGAAAATAATTTACGGCTTAAAAATGGATAATATAAAGACTACGCTGGGAAGGTAAGCCTATCATAAACGGGCAATCGTTTTTGAAAACCAAACTGTTTTAAACTGGCCGCCGCATATGTTTTACGTTGCACGTAGACTGATATCCGCTGTCATACCCATCTTTCCTGTAAATGCAGACAAGTACTCAGAAACTGGTATGCACGTTGTCGTGACAAGAAAATAAAAAGGAACTTTGTACGGAAGATAAACTGGGGAGTATAAGTCTGCTTTCGATACATATTCCACATTTACATCGTCATCAAATAAGAAAAATGTGCGGGTTAGAAAGGACCAAATAAAGAACATTGACAGTGCCAATCGTGCGCACATGATACATCCAGATTACCGCGTAGATTCCAGAGCGGCTTTTCGAGTGATCTGCATGATGCTATCAGCAAACAACAAATTTGCTAGACAGCGTCTGCGAGCCACGGGTCAAAGCGGCTGCAATCAGGCTACACAACTCAGTCATGTGCGCTTAAAGGACGCCACAGTTACCATGACAGAAAGTCGCAAATTGACCCGTCCAGAGCTTATTACCTTTCTCAGCGGCCAGGTTTCCCTGACGCTGATCAGATAAATGACCCTCATTTTTCTCCTGCCCGACCTGTAACCACACGACGTTTTCTATTAACCTACATATTCTACTTAGTTTATAATCATATATAGCTGAGTCATCTTTTACTAATCCGATGGTAATTTTTGCGACTTTTTACCCAAACTGAATAATCACGAAAAATGAATGAAAGGGCAGAGGCTGCCTCTGAACTTGGTTCAGCACAAGTATAATACACTCCCCCGCCTCCGTGCTTGTACAGATGGCCTTGCCAAATTTCCGGTGCGCTTAAATAGTCCATGCCCCAACTTTCACATTTCCAAGTGTAACACGAATCCCAATTCCAAATTTTTTTAACATTTACTGCAAGGTCATCTGTCATATGGAAGGTATCTGTAATTTACGCATACTCCGAAATTATTTTGAGGCGTATTTCACGCCTTCAGGCCTTGCAGATTCGAAAATGGCTGAGTGATTCCACAAACAACTGCTACAAATGAAGCTTTAATAGGCCTCTTTGCCAATATAGGCTGTGCATTTTCTCCTTGTGAATGTGTTCAAGAGGTGCCTAAATAACTACCTGTTAATCGTCAGCCCGAACTTTTGAAACCTTGTCTAACGATTTCTCAAGTAACTATAAACGTACTACTGTCTTAATTACAATAGATTGTTTGCTACCATAAAAAGTGTCTCATGTTTTCGCTGTTATTTCACAAATGCTGCACTTTCGTCCACATTTACTTTTCACTATGAGCTTTGTGCATTTTGCATTATAGAACAAACTATAAAAAGTGTCACAACTTCACTATTTTTATGCATACCTGTACCGTTTATGTGGATATTTTAAGAGTTTCTGTAATTTACTCCAAATATACCGAATGACGCAATTATGGAAATTACAGTGCTCTCAGTAAGATTCAAAACCATGACAAAAATGGCACGGCCTCAGTACAGCCACAATTTTACTATTAAAACGCAGAACGTTAGCCAGAATTTAATTAAAGAAGTCTGCTACCTTTTATGTGTTTCAGGGCTGGGGCCTGGCAGAATCCTCTATTTCGACAGTATATAGCAGGAAACGATAGATGAATTTTGGTTTTCAAACGTTCAAAGTCCTTTTTTAAAAGTTAAGTAAAACTACAGTGGCTTATGTCTTTTCCATATTTATCAGGACAATACGAGGGCTGTTTTCTCTTTTAGGCTAGCTGGCCGCAGCGGATAGTCCAGGCATCAGGGACGCTTCTCCGCGAGTTCGCTGATCTAGAAGTTTATGCCAGTCTTCGCAATGCGTCTGCCAACATCACCGAGTCTCTCAAATGTAATGCTGTCACTTTACGATGTCACATAATATTGCTTGATTTATCTGATGTACTATCTAGGCAAAGGACACATTGACTTTAATGCGAAGTAGGCTCAAGCTGTGAGGGCTAAATTTACTGACAGAAGCTCTTGGTCCTGTATCTTCTTGCAATTAATTTTAGCTCAGTTTTATTGAAGAAAGGTAGGCGAATGCCTTTGAGGTAGGCATTGGTTATAATAACGCTGCCAATGAAAAACACAGATACATACTGCACGTTGGACAGGAGGCTGACTGTAGACTTGCATGCAACAAGCACATAACTGCGTATTTACTGCCGCTATGTGATGACATGGGGTAAAATTAGGGAACGAATGACAACGCGTTACTTTCGTGTGATATACAGTATGCAGAAGCGTACCTAAACAGTACTAGACCTCACGCTGTCAGCCTACAGACACGAAGCGAAACAATCATAAAATTATTCTACTGAAAATGGAAAGTAGTGTGATTTATAACCTCAACGACTAAACCCGGGTAGTAATGGCAGAAGAAGCCAATAATTAGTCACAGCGGCTTCCGATAACGTGACGAATTTTATATTGTATTTATGAGCATAGAGCTGAGATTTCACGCCAACATCACAAAAGTCAGGTACTGAAAGTGGAATTCCATGTTTGTTTCTCTGTGGAAGCGACGCGTTTAATGCGGAAAAAGAACTTCAATGGTGCTGTTTTCGTTAGCTTATGAAGTCTGTGTAAATTTTGCATCAGCCTTTGCACATATTTTTAAAATAAGGGGAACCCTGTGTGTCATCTCCTAATCAATAGAAGTTTGTCAGCTGCGAAAACACTTCAATAAAACTTATTTCCTGTTAAAAAGCATGCGTAATTAATTTTCATTAAATCTGATTTCGGGCACTTTGGGCAAAATTTGGTCTTAAATAAATCAAAGAAATTGTGTGAGAAAACTGCATTACGACGTCT